CCGGGCACAGCAGGAAAGTGTCTGATTGGTGCTCAACTGGAGCAAAATGTGCGTTTCCCATCATGGATCCCCTACCTCACACCATTTTCGATTTAAATTTCACCTTGCCCTGTCCAGGAAACTTATTCACAAGTTGAAGAAAGAACAACGTTTTTAATAACTCCCCCCCCCCAAAAAAAAACAAAACTATTGCAAAATTTTGAAACCCTCTGAAGTGTGGGGTGTCACCCAGTTTGCCCTCCCCTAAGGCCTCTGCTGCCTCTGGGATGGATGGCAGTAGCCGCGGGGCACGCACAACGGGGATGTTCCTGGCATCTGATGAAGTAGGCCTGTGTCTCCAAAAGCTTATGCCTTTCACAGACGCCTAGGAAGTTAGGGATGGAAGGGACCTGAATAGTCTGGACGATGCTGCCCTGCCCTGCCTGCCGCCTTGGTGCAGACTAACGCCTAACTGCTTCTCTCACCATTTGGACAGTGAGACCATTTCCTCCCCTTATAAAAAAGACTTTCCTTTTGTGCTGTCTCACTTCATTTTGGCAGCTGGGTTACATGTATTAAAGGTCATGCAACACAATTGGGCCCAGGGCTGCAGAAAGTGGCAGAAACCCGTGCACACGGACTGATCTCTGGCTGCTTTGCCCCTCCATCCAGGAAGAGAGCAGACCATCTGTAGATGCTTCCTCAGCCTGACGAAGGGTGCTTGTGCCTGAAAGCTTGCTAAAATGAATGTTTCCAACTTTTTTAGTTGGTCTAATAAAAGATACAGGATTTACCCAAAGAACTTTGTCTGCCCCTGTCCTTAGACCAACGCGGCTACAACCTACACCCCAGAAACCAGGCAAGGGTTTTCCTGAAAATATAGATCCATGTTGTTGTACCGCCCGTGAGCACACGATGGCACCAAGGGCCTGTTGGTGTGATGATCCTGGTGCCAGGCCAAGCCTCGGTCCAAGCAGAGAGTTGAGTTCTGCTCAGTTGATATGACTTGGAACTGATTTTGGCTGATTTGACCTGGAACTCAAAATATATTAATCAAAAAAAATCTGTCCAAGTAGAGAACTTTGCAGCTGATAGTTAGTGAACCCAGGAGCTGCTGTTTCAATAGATGTGAAGCACTAAATACTGAATACAAGGGGGTGGGAGCAGGGGACGGTGAAATTTTGACTACCCAGTTTTTGATCTTTTTAAAAAAAGTGCCAGATTCTGGACATGTCTTCTGGTTTAAATTTGACTCTGCTTCTAGCATGGAAGAGAGAAAGAGATTTTAGCATGAGAAACAGTAGAAGAAATTGGTGCTCGTCCAGAGGATTGGTGCCACACTTACACCATGCATTGGAGGAGCACAGGGGACAGAATGCAGGCAGATGCACAGGCAGAGAGCAACCACCCTGACTAGTGCAATCCATGTATCCGTGCTGGCCCTGCGTACCTGCCTTGGGTATATGAGGGCAATGTGAACTTTACCCATAACTGATCAGAGGTGGCTTTAGAAAGAGGACCTAGGTTTCCTTTGATAGCTGAAGTGTTACTGGAATACGCAAATAAACCCAGACTCAAGCTCTTTTATGTGAAGGGGACACAAATCAGTAGGGAATCTCTTCTTTTGCACAGGCAATCTCCAAGGGGCAGTCATCACTATGCTCCTTCAAGAACGAGCTAGGGCCATGTGCCGCTGAACCCTTCCCCGCTCCCATCTCACATAAAGGTAGGCTGTGTATCTAGCTGTACTGCAGACTCTTGTGGGCCGTTTCAGGCAAGTTATTTGGCCACAAATTTTGAGTAGCTCTATTTTTTGGGTACCTTGCCTTTCAGCAATGTGGTGCCCTCACTGCTCCCATTTACTTTCAAAGGCTTGTGGATGCTCAGAAGCTTTAAAATTCAGGTTTCAGATGTCTCACGCTGAGTTCCCAACAGCAGGGTCATGCAAAAGCAGTGCCACACAATAGAAGTCAGTGCTAGAATCAGGATTAGGACTCGATGCATCTGCACAAGATGCTACTGGACAGTAGCAACGAGCTACCATGCAGTAGTGTTGGCAGGCACTAACTGTGTGGCAATGATACTGTGCAGTAGTAACAAGCTCATTGCTACTGTGCAGTAGCATCTGAAAAAAAACCAAAAACATGGCGATGGTACTGTGCAGTAATGCCTGTCACTGCACAGTAGATGTAGTACTTGCTTATGCATCCGCACAGTCTGCTGCTTGTGTGGAAGTGGCCAGAGTTTCCCAGTTCCCAATCACATGCTCCAGGCCCTGGCCCCCTCAGATTTCCACAGTGTGTCTTTTATCCCTCTTTCACTAAAACACTGTATCTGTGTGTTCTCTGCAGGCTGCAGACATCTGATACAGGTGTGTGCTGGGATGGGAAGGCACCATTACTTTCCTAGTGGGGGGATAGGCTTCGGTTGCAAAATTTGGACTTGGATCCTGGTGCCTTCCCAAAGGTGGTTGGGCAAGAGAACATAACAGAACAGCTGCCACCGACTGGGTCAGATCCAGTCTGCCTTGCCCAGTCTCCTGTGCCACACAGGGGCAGGCAGCAGCAGCTGAAAGGGAGAGCCAGGTGGGTCTGGCCAGGGCTTTTCCCCACTGCTCCTCTCTCACTCGCACCCTCCAGCACTGACAGTCTAGGGAAGTTCTTACCTGGCAGGGAAAACACCATGACCACTAAGGTGGTTTTCTGTAAGCACGCCCAGGGAAAACGCTCTGCTGGCATGGGGGTAGTGGTGTATAGTTAACTTTGGCTTTAAGCCCAGTTGGTGGAAATAGGAGACACCTCCCTCGCTTGTTCCTGGGGCCTTATGGCTAAGGTCAAGCAACACTCAGGGGCACCCGAGCCCCCAAGCCTCCAGGCCTGGGCCTGCACATAGGATGCCTGCCAAAGGATTTGGAAACATCTGAAGCCCCAGGGAGGATGGAGGATGTTTGCCAGTAGTAGGGCCACTCACGGGTCACGGATTTGGGACGGATTTGGCTAACTTGACTTGGAAGACGAAAAATGTTCATTACCAAAAGAAACAAAGAAAGGTTCTGATTCAAACGCCTGCCCCTCTCTCCCATGCTCAGTAGCTCCCGATGCCCCTGTCCTCCATCCCTTGGGTGGCATCCGTGTGCCCTTGGGGATGCCCGAGGAGGTGGTGTCGGCGTGGGAGGCTTCTAGTCTAAGCCGCAGCCCGGCAGCTCGAGGTC